TTACAGTAGGAAGGGGGGGGCTCTGGGGAAGTAGAGGGGCATTGGGTTAGAATGAGGGTGCCTGGCTTTGGGGGAGACGTGGGGGATATTTTGATAACATTTTGTTTTTATTTATTTATTCCCAAATAAAATCACAAAATATATATATTAATTTTATATCGATAAATGTCAGTTTTTTGCAATTGCATGAATATTATACGTTTATGCAAAATCTCACTTACACAGTATCTGAAATTTCACAGAAGCCTGTTCTATTTGATTAACCACAGTCTATACTTGTTTTTATTTCAACAAAACAAGTTACGTATCATATAAAAAATTAAAAAGTACTTCAAATTTATATTTAAATGAAAAATTATTTGTACAGGAAAATAAACAATTTTATACATCAAATTATTGTATTATAAACAAGACCTGAAAAATTATAAAATACAGTCTATTGGAAAATTGTAATAATTTATTATTATAGAGGTACATTTTCTTTGGTGGCCCTGATAGCTATCCGTTTTTATTTGTGCGGCCCTCAGTAGACTTTGAGTTTGACATGATTGGGCTACAGTGAACTAGCCACACTAAACCAGCCAAATATAGCTACATATGGCTAGTGGTTAGCGGGTTGGACACCGCAGATCTAAAGGGACAGAATCATTTCTTGTTGGCTTTGAATTCCACAAATGGGTTGGGTATTTTTTAACTTTACTTATGCTTAATGTGAGAACTCTGGGTTTTTTAAGCGTTTGTTGCTTTTGGGGAGTCACTCCTCAAGAGCAACTGTAAAACAGCATGGCTGTGTCTAGACTGGCAAGTTTTTCCGCAAAAGCAGCTACTTTTGCGGAAAAACTTGCCAGCTGTCTACACTGGCCGCTTAAATTTTCGCAAGAACACTGACAATCTCATGTAAGAAATCAGTGCTTCTTGCGGAAATACTATGCTGCTCCCGTTCGGGCAAAAGTCCTTTTGCGCAAAAGCTTTTAACGGAAAACTTTTCCGTTAAAAGCATTTGCGGAAAATCATGCCAGTCTAGACGTAGCCCATCTGAAATTCATTGTGGCAGATTTCATGGGGTTTGTTGCATCCTTTAGGTAATTACATTGTTTTTCTAGTTATTTGTCTCAGGATCATAAGTTGTCTGCATTTTGCTGTTGTCTTCATTCTAAAGTGCATTTTTTTAAATTAGATTCTAAAAAATGGTGTTTAGATTTGTTTTACCATAGATCCTGAAAACCTTTGTTGCAAGATGTTAATTGAAAAAAGCTGTTTGTCTGTGAGCGTCATTTGCATTGAATTGTAAAAGTTACTAAAAATTGATTCTGAAACAGCTAAGGATCTCATCTTCATATATTGTGATTTTATTTCATTTTATTTTATTTTATTTTATTTTGCCATTGACTCCAGTTATTTCATTGGAAGTAGGAAAAAACTCCCAACATCTGGGAAATACTAAAATAGTTTTCAAGAAAACCAGTTGCAGATAGCCAATCTCTTTCTTTCAGTAGAGAACTTCATTTGACTCTCTATCATGTAATAGCATCTGCAGTAGATTAATTAGTCTTGTAAAGTTCTGTTCAAGCAACTGTAATTGACAGAGAGAAGATCTGTGGCTTTTTTTTTTTAACCTTCTCATAATAGGGGATGAAGGAGTAAACTTTTTCCTTACTGGTAAACTTCCCGACCATTTTGCAAGGCAGCCTTCATACACTTAGTCTCTGTAATTTATCAACCTGTTCCCATTAAGCCTCTGGTGCTAAGGGCTGTGACGAAGCACCTCCGATCCTGTCTGTTTCTGGCAAGTTTTCAATGTTTTTCAGCTTAGCTTCCACAACTCTTTGTCATGTTGTTTTCACTTGCCTTCAGGTATTCATCTTATTGCTACTCTGGTGATAGAATCAGTTTTCATCTAAAGCATATGGCCAATTCATCTCCAGTGCCTCCTGGTAATGATGGTGCTCATATCCTCTTGCCTACACTCTATCAATAGATCTTGGTTTGAGATGGTTCTGGGCCAAAAGATACAAGGATTATTCTGAAGCAGGTTGTACAGAATGAAGACAGTTTGGACACATTGTACACATTCCCTAGCATTCTGCATTTAAACGTTAAAAGCATATAGCTCTGAGAAATCTTGCATTTGGTTTTTATGTTGTATTTTGATGATTTCCAGACTGGTTTTATGGACCTGAAGGTATTGCTGGCTTTAGTTATTTTGATCCACTCTCCTGGCTGATAGTGTGACCCAAGTATGTCAATGTTGCTACATTGGTGAGAACATAATCCTCTATCCATACTGGTGATTGAGGCAATACTAAAGATCATTTTTTGTCTTATTGTGATTGATTTGTAGTCCAGTTAAGTTGTTTTCTCTTGTATACGGTATTAGGTATGTGATAGGAGAATGAGATCATCTGTGAAATCCATGTCTTCAAGGGTTGAGAAGGGTGTCCATTTAATGCCTCTTAGTATATTTTCAGTTTTATGTTGCATTATCTAGCCAATGGCATTGTTTAAGAGGATTGCTGACATGACACATCCCTGATGTATTCCTGTTTTGACTTCAAAACTGAGCTCACTGTGATCAACACTATTAAAATAGATGTTTGGTAATGTTTATATGGAGAGGGATTCCATATGCTCACAGAATGTGTCATAGGCTGATCCTGTGAATGCTATCAAAGTTTTCTCAAAGTCTATGAAGTTTATGAGAGTTGCCATTACCATTCAAAGTATTGTTCTTCATCGCGTAGTCTCCCTGTGGGTGCTCCACTGAAGGTGTCGGGCTCATCCCAGCGCTGCAGTCCAGAGAATCTTCATCAGCAGTAGCCCAGCTGGACCGCACATGCGCGCGTGTTGTCTTGCACCGTTTGCACCCTTTCACGGAGTGCGGTCCAGCCCCGTCAGTTCCTTTCTAACCGGCCGCAGACAGTCAGGATGAACTCCCTCTCCACTCTGAGGAGACTGGGAAAATAGAAGTAGAAATAGAAATAGTTATTTCATTCATTCACCAGTTCTTGTTAGTAGTTGTTTTGTTAGTTATACAGGCAGTCCCCGGGTTACATACAAGATAGGGACTGTAGGTTTGTTCTTAAGTTGAATTTGTATGTAAGTCGGAACTGGTACATATTGTAGGGGAAACTCTAGCCAAACATTTCTCCAGTGCTCAGTTTTATTCTCCCACACCTCACTTCCCTCAGTCCTTTATTCTCAAGCTGAGGTGTCTGCTGAGAAAAGCCGCTCTGTGTCTCCCTCATCTGCTGGGGAGGAGGGCGCTAGCTTCGCGTCTCCCTGGTCTGCTGGGGGGAAGCAGCTAGTGCGGGGTTGCCTCACCTCGTTTGTAAGTAGGGATCCGATGTAAGTCAGATCCATGTAACCCGGGGACCGCCTGTAGTTCATATACTTCAGTTTAAAAAGAAAAAATCTTCATCCTAGTTACACGTGCTTGTTAGAGTAGCCCTAAACAAAAAAAAACCACAACCAGAGACGCTCAAGAAGGAAGAAAACAATCATTATGCTGCGGTCTCCTCTGATTCATAGTGGGCATGGAGCATTACCAATCCAGAATGTTTATTTTCGGACTCTCAGCAGCGCCGAGAGTGTTTTCCAAGTCCCTGGAGGTTGTGTCTGCCTACCTTCGGCGTCTCGACATCACAATCTTCCCTTATTTAGACGATTGTCTACTGAAGGCTCCCACCTTGAATAACACTACATGGGTAGTTGCCACAACTATGACAGTGTTCAAAGCTCTGGGGCTCATAATCAATTTCAACAAATCTTCCCTAACGCCGAATCACTCCCTAGAATTCATTGGTGTGAGGCTCGATTCATCAATTGCAAGAGCTTACTTACCCCTAAAAAGGTTTCACATCATCCAAGACCTAGTTCAGACTTTATGGATTGCTCCCAAATCCCATCTACTTACCTGCCTACAGCTGTTAGGGCACATGGCTGCCACCACATATGTGGTGCCTCACGCAAGACTTCATCTGCGGGGCCTTCAACATTGGCTATTCACACTATATATGCCAAGTGTCCAGAGCACATGCAGGTCAGTCTCCATTCCAAAAAACATCAAGGACTCATTAGCAGAGTGGAACAGTCCCAAGAACATGCTAACAGATGTCCTCTTTCATGGTCAGAAACCCACAGTCCAAATCACAACGGATGTGTCCTTACTCTGGTGGGGTGACCATCAGGCTCAGGGTCTCTGGACGCCTCAAGAGTCCCTGCAGTACATAAAACTCCTTGAGTTACGAGCAGTATTCAACACCTGCAAACATTTCCTTCATATGATCCGAGGTCTTACAGTTCAGATCCTCACTGACAATATATGCATGGTGTACTATATCAACCAGCAAGGTGGTGCTTGCTCTCAATCCCTCTGTGCAGAGGCCATCCGATTGTGGAACTGGGCCATTCGACACAGTATTACCCTTATACTGCAACATACCTTCCTGGCAAGGACAACATCATCGCCGATACCCTCTGCAGACAATTCCTTCCATAACACGAATGGGAGTGGCACAACGAGGTCGTCTGTGATCTTTTCCAACACGGGATTCCCTAGTATAGACCTTCCCGCTCAACTGGAGTCATCACCACTTGTTCTACGCCTTTCCCAGTCTCCCACTCATCCTGGGAGTACTGGAGAAAATAGCATTAGATGGTGCAGCAGTGATTTTGATAGTGCCCTTTTGGCCCTGACAGACGTGACTAACATAATTATTGCGAATGTCGGCAACCCAACCACGACAACTGCCGAAGCTATACAACTTACTGTCTCAACAGCACGGTACAATAATCCACCCACACATCGATTGCATGCACCTCATTGTGTGGCTTCTAGTTGGCTTCAAGCGCCAGAAATGAGCTGTTCTCAGGCAGTAAAACGTGCTTATACAAACCAGACTCCACACCACTCGAAACACTTACCTCCACAAATGGTATCGGTTCCAGTCCTGGTATTCAGCAAGAGGCTTCAACCCTCTTTGCCTGCCTATCTAATAAGTTCTCTATTCTATCCTACATCTAAAGACAGCGGGCCTGACTATTCCTTCCCTCAAGATTCACCTGGTGGCAATCTCAGCCTTCTGACCTCCTATCGAAGATCATTCAGTATTTGCTCACCCATTAACCAAAATATTTTTAAAGGGGCTTGTAAATCTGTACCTCACTCACAGGATTCTTCCAGAACCATGGGACCTAGGTCTGGTTCTGGACACCATAACTCCCTCCCTCGTCCCAGCCACTTGTGACATGCGATCTCCACATGCTCACTATGAAGGTGGTGTTCTTGCTTGCCATAACTTCGGCACGACAGGTGAGCGAATTAGCGGCTCTCTCTGCTGATCTGCCCTACACATTATTCACCGAACACTGGGTAGTGCTTCACATTCACCCTCTCTTTTTACCAAAAGTGAACTCGGTCTTTTATATAAACGAACTGTAACTCTGCCGACCTTTTACCCGAAACCTCATTCTATCGCGGAAGAGTCACGATTGCATACACTGGACATCAGAAGAGCACTGGCCTTTTATCTTGAAAGAAAATGCGTTTTCAGAAAGTCACAGCGTCTTTTCTTATCTACAGCAAAAGGTTCAAAAGGCCAACAGCTCTCTGCACAGCGCATTTCCGACTTGATCGTCTCTTGCATTACACAATGCTATGTCTTGCGCAATAGATGATTACCTCACTGACCACGAGCCCATTCCACTAGAGGGATGGCCACATCCATAGCTTACCTTAAGGGCATACCACTACAGGATATATGCCGTGCAGCAACCTGGTCCTCTGCTCTTACCTTCGCCAGACATTACATCCTCGTGAAAATACTGAAGAACGATTATTCAGTGGCCCAAACAGTCCTATCCACAGCACAGAGACCATGAGTCCAAAGCACATGAATAGCAATGGACGACTGCTATGTAGTCACCTTCAGTGGAGCACCCACGGGGACACTACTCGAAGAAGAGAGAGGTACTCACCTGGTGCAGTAACGTCTGTTCTTCGAGATGTGTTTTCCCGTTGGTGCTCCGCGTCCTGCCCTGCTTCGGAGCTACAGTTTTTATCTTTTTCAGACACTCCCGGCTAGGAGGAACTGACTGGGACGGACCGCGCTCGCACGAAAGGGTGTGAATGGTGCGAGACAACACGCGCGCATGCACGGTCCGGCTGGGCTACTGCTGATGAAGATTCTCTGGACTGCAGCGCTGGGATGAGCCTGACACCTTCAGTGGAGCACCCACAGGGATGCATATCTCGAAGAACACATTACTGCACCAGGTGAATAACTCTTCTATTATGTTTTGTAGAGTGAAGATCTGGTCTGTGCATTCCCACCAGTTCCAAAAACTGACTTGCTTTTTTCTGAGAATGCTATCAACTGCCTCTTCAGAAAAGCACACAGATTTTTTCAACATCCCTGTTAAACCTCATTTTACAAGGAAGAAGGGATGTTTCGAGAGAGGGGTTTTTTTTCCAACATTTGGCCCAGTGTAGACAGGCCAAATGTTGGAAAAGCCTCTTCCGAAAAAAGAATCGGAAAAAGATATCTTTTTCCTATAGAACTGTGTAGTGTAGACACAGCCTCAGAGTTCCTTTTTTTTGTATCTTCACTATAATCCTATTGATCTGGCATTTTTTCCCTTTACCAGACTGATGTAAATAGAGGGACTGGGATAGATGCTGCTAACTCAGCATTCACTTTGAACAAATCTGCATTCAAGTTATCCTTTCTAGGAGCTTTCCCATTTTTTAAGGATTTGATGGCTTGAATGATCTCTTCTTTAGTTGGGATGTCTGTGTTGATACCAAAATTTTCTGCCTCCTGAATGATTGCTGCCTCTTTAGGTAGCTTCTGCAATTGTATGAAATGATGTGTTTTGTGGGGGTTTTTTGCTTTTAGATGGCTTTGTTGTCCCTGATGAATGTTTGTGGGTATTAATGGTTTACGATGGATAAGCTGCATTCTTTTGTAGACAGTTCCTTGTCCACCACCACCATCTGCATCTTCTGCTTGTGTTGCCATATTATCAATATAATGTCACTTGTCCATTCTCACAAGGCATCTGACTTCACAGTGTGCCTTGCTATACGGTTTATATGCCTTCATCTTCTGGGATTTTGTATCTAAATTTTTTTTCTTCAGGGCTCATCTGGTTTCCATGGTGTTCCATATGTTCAGCATAATTCACTTCTTCCATCTCTACTGCCTGTAGCGTAGACAGGCTTTTCTTCTCTGTTTATAAATCGCTATTACTTTGTCTGACTTCTTGTTGATCTCCTCATCTCCACTCACCTTCTCTTCATCAAGGTCCGCAAGTGCCTGACACCTGTTCTGTAACTGCAGAATGAATGCTTTCTGTATTTCGGAAGACTGGCTTGTCTATGTCCCTTGTTTGGTGGAGCCAAATTTACCAGTTTTAGCTTGATGGAGGCTGTCATAAGGTGGCAGTCACTTCCAACATCTGTACTCCTTCTCACTTTCAGATTTGTCTTTGAGCATCGCCATTTGATTATTTCATGGTCAGTCCTGTTCTTATCCTTAATGTTTGGAGAACAGTGTTCTCTGGTGTCCATGCCAGGTCATAACAGCTTGCATGCTCTAACAATCCCCATAAATCCACGTCGGTAGGTTGTTTTTTGATCCTGATATGTTCAGCTATGCCAGATTTTTCTGTGGAGGAGTAGCCAGTCAAAAGGAAGCTACTTGCACAAAAACTGTAGTGCTCAATACTAAGACAATATCCAAACTTGTTTGAAGATAATATGAAGATAATGTATGAAACAGGGAAGCTAGCTCAGTTCACAGATGAGAATGAGATGTAACATCTTACACATCCAGGGGTGTTAGCGAGAACAGCAGTATGGGATTAGGAAGATTAACAGTTCTGAATGGGATTATGAACAATACCATGAGCCTGTCACCATCCTTTTGAAGAAGGGAATGAAGCATTCCCTGCTTGAGTGGAAGTCCAGAAACAGCAGATTTATGAGAGCCAGACTGAAAGGGAAACACAGTAATAGCAGTCTGATTCAGTTCTATGTGCCAACAGTGATGAAGAAGTAAAGGACAAATTCTACTTTACATTATAGGCAGAGTTAGAAAGTACCACACCATGACCTAACTGTTCATGGGAGACCTTAATGCCGACGTCAGTTAGGAAAAGACAAACAATGATAGAGTAATGAGAACACAAGAGTGAAGCCTCTCTCCATTTTCATTCACGGTACCTGTTGATTTCTGCAATATAAAAGACTTAGTCTTTGGTGGAGCCCTATTTCAACATGAAATTAACAAGTAGACATGGTATTCTCCTCTGGTATTCTCCTCAAAGTGTAGTACAACTTTGAAATCAGATGGTTGTAATCCCCCCCTCCCCCAATTGCAAGCCCTACAAACTCAACATGAAATTTGAAACTCAAGCTAGATTCTTTTTGGCTCATGGATTTCCTATAATAAAGATATGGCAAACAAAATTAACTTAACTCTTCTACACATTGAACCTCTAGTCAGGCAACCTCAAGACCTGACAGGTGTTGAACCAAATATTTTGCTGTATCATGGGGAGGTCAAAATTGTCTAGCAGCATTACCAACATTCCACTGCTTATTGGGCAGAAGCTTATCATATAGTTGACTAGTGATGTGACTAGTCGTTCGCGCCCCACACCCCCTTGCTGCCTCTATCAGAGAGATGCAGTAATGGGGCGGGGAACAGGAGCCAATGCTGGGGGGGGGGGCAAGCCTGCTTAAAAGCTGGTTCCTCCCAGTCAGGGGACAGGGGAGATGAGAGGCACATGGGAAACGGCACGAGTGGGGACTGAAGCAGTCTCCGCTTGCACCACTTCTGCTGCAGTTCTGCTTTTGAAATGTACAAGAGCCCCAGTGGGGCTCTTGTACATTTCAAAAGCTCAGGTGCCACAGGGAGGGCGAGGCCAGTGGGGTAGTGCCCTGCAGGCGCCACGCTAGGTTCTGCTTTTGAATTGTACAAGAACCCATTGGGACTCTTGTACATTTCAAAGGGTGAGGCCCCGCCAGGAGCACGAGGCCATAGGGGTCCCATGCTCCCTGCGGGGCTTACTTTTGAAATGTACAAGATCCCCACTGGGACTCTTGTATGTTTCAGAAGGAAGCCCTACACTTCCTATGGGACTTCTGCTTTTAAACCATAGCAAGAGCCCAGCAGGTGAAAACCCATCAACTACTCAATTTGTCTATAATCTAAATTTAACATCCCTAATAACTGCACAGAACACGGAAAGCCTAGACTGGTGGCTGTAAACAAACTTTATGGGACCGCACAGAGTTGGCCACAGTTATAAGTGAACATCTGGCTATCTAAAATCATTCTGGACCATGGACATTGCTGGACCTCAGAGTGCTGATATAGAGAAGTTAAACCTGTATTAAAATAATCGGTCCCCCACTATTACATCATTTTGGTGCTGTTACACTATAATGTATAACCAGAGTAGACACTAGCTTCCTCCCACTATAATGTTGACTCTCCTGGGATAAAAGGAGGAAAATTATAGTCAAATTTGAGTATTCAGTGGAGAGTCAAGAATAGGCTTTAAGAGCAATTTTGTTGATTAAGATGCCATTTTGACACACTCGTTTTCAGAAGAGAAATAGGCTTTCAGCAGTAGCAGTGGCACTAATGACAGTGGGAAGTTGAATAGTCCACATTACTAGAGCTAAACCTCTACTAGTTCTTGTGACTATGTTCATGTGTGTGTTTATTTCAAGCAACCTGCTAGGAAATCTTCTACAGACTCTCATGGAGAGATTCAAGTTGTTGACACAGGTAAGTCTTAAAAAAAATTATCAGTCTTGCTATTAATATTTGTTTATGTAAATATATGAGAGTCCTGTTAGTTGCCATTTTCCCCCAAAAAATTAAAATAATGGATTAATTTGATTCTGTTTTTAACACTCCTATCATGTAATGAAAGTATTGACATGGGACCATATGAGACATTGAAATATTTCTAATGCTGACCAGTTCAATATTTCTTATGTTGATTAGCACAGAAGTGACTGGTATTAAAGTCAAGAAGAGCTCTGTGTAAGCTCAAAATCTTGTTTGTTTCTCACTAATAAAGATATTACCTCACCCACATATTTTATCTATGTATGAAATAGGTTCATTTACATGTCTGCCATCTCTATAAATCAATATGGAAAGAATGAATGAAAACTTGTAGTGTAAAGTAGAAATGAATGGTTGTTTGTTTGTTTGTGGTGGGAGGTTCGTTTGTTTTTTTTGTATCAACATCGTGCATAAGACGTTTGCACAAGAAAACATGAAGTGTAATGGGCATGCAAGTGAGGGCATTGAACTGAGACATTGTATGTCTGCAAGAGAGATGAGATAAGTCTTGCAACTGATGTGTCAGTCTCCATTTTGGTCATTACTAACTTATGGTCATGATACTGCAAATCTTTTTCGGATACTTTTGTCGGAAGATGCTTTTTCGAAATTTAGCCAGTCTAGACTTGGCCAATTTTTGGAAAAAAGCCCTCTTTCGAAAGCCCTCTTCTTCCTCATGGAACGAGGAATACGTGGGTTTCCAAAAGAGCGCATTTGCTCTTCGCAAAAAAAAAGTGGAAGAGCAAACGCACTCCCTGGACGCAGCGGAGTTTTTTTGGGTTACCTCTGGTGTCCTGAGAAACCCCCTCAGTCCAGCTGTACCCTGAATTAGTACTGTTGTCATGCGGAACAGTTATTTGAAGCCCTCACAAAACTTCAAATGAGATTTTTTTTTCTACTTGTGAGAGTACTCAGAAGTACAAATCTTTATGTAAGTGGTTGGTAATCTATATTCTCCTTATAACTCGTAACACAATGCAGTTTGATTAGTTGTTACATAATTTCTCTAGCATAATTGTTAAAAATCAAGCTTCTCCATAACCATTTCATAACTTATTTCTTAAAATGACCATCTGCATTTATCTATCCATGAAAAGCAACTATTGCAAGATGTGGCATTTCTGTAAATTAAAAGGACAGTCACATTAATTTGTAAATGTCCTTATCTATGTCTCCTGAGCATATTCAAACTCATGGGATGTTATGGCTCTAGCACAAATGCTGGGAAAATTCTTATAGTAAGGCCAGTTAAAATATTTGTGCCACCTCCTATTTGTCTGAATTCTCTAAAGTTCTGAGAGCAAGACTTTAAAAGGAGGCATGGCACCCTCCGTAGACTCCGTTTCTTTCCACTGCAGCATCAGATGGATGTAAACCTCAATTAATACAGATCCCTCACTTAGTGTATTATCTGAAGGCTTGACTATACTAGACGGAGGATCGATACTGCTGTGATCAATCCACCACTGGTTGATTTATCATGTCTGCCTAGATGTGAAAAATAGACCTCCGAGCACTCTCTTGTGTTGACTCTGCTACTCCACCGGGATGAGAAGAGTAGCTGGAGTCTACAGGAGAGCAACCCCCGCAAACCGTATTGTGTGGAAGATCCATGATAAGTATGGGTATGTCTACACTTACACCCTAGTTTGATCGAGGGATGCAAATGCAGGCATTTGAAATTGCTAATGAAGCGGGGATTTAAATATCCCGCACTTAATTAGCATGATCTCGCCAGCGCGCTAGTTCGAATCACAGCCGATTCGAACCAGGAAGTGCGCGCTGGGACGCATTAGTTCAAACCAAGGGGTTTAGTTCGAGCTAATGCGTCCCAGCACCCACTTCCTGGTTCAAATCGGCTGTGATTCGAACTAGCGCGCTGGCGAGATCATGCTAATTAAGTGCGGGATATTTAAATCCCCGCTTCATTAGCAATTTCAAATGCCTGCATTTGTATCTCTTGTTTGAACTAGGGTGCAAGTGTAGACATACCCTATGTGGACTTCAGCTGCACTATATGTTAAGCTATATACATGTAGCTGAAGGTGTGTAGATTACATCAACAGGGTAAGATGTAGCGTAAACTAGGACTGAGTATAGTTTACTTGTTTTATAGCTGGTGTTAGTAATTTAAGGAAAGTTTGTTCTTAGAATCAAAGTCTCCATTAAGTTTACTCATTACTGGTTCCATGGTGGATTCAAAGGTGAAAAGAATTGGCTTTAAAGGTGTCTAGCAGTATTCCTGGTATTGGATGTTCATACTAGATAATTGTATGAATACTCTGTCTGTAACATGCTTACACTGATTGATGCAAGGTGCAACAACAGACAAATCCCTATTGCTTCACAAAGCTGCCCCTCAGATCCAATGCCTCAAAGGGATTCAATATTGCAAAAAGACCAGTACTGATTGTGGAAAGTTGTGGTCTTCTGAGACCAAAATTTCAACAGTATAAAAAGCACTGGACTCCGTTCTGGGATCTAATTACAAAAATGCTATGCAGTCAGCTCCCAAGTTATTTGATTCAACTGTAAAGCACTTTCAATTCTGTCAGTGTCTGCCTCTGAGCGAAGAGCTAAATCACAGGGAAAATCATTGGATCTGCCTATCTTGAATCCAACAAAGATAGCATGGGATAAAAAAAAAACCCTTTGTAACTAATTTGACCAGAGAGAGAGAGAGACCTCAGATCCATTAGTGCAGGATTAGGCAAGGCTAGAATGTTCCCTGAACACTGAATAGGGCATTGAGTGCCCATGAGTGTGAATATGCCAAGGACATTTGAAGGAAGACAGGAAGGTTAACTTATCTGGTGAGCTGGTGTGCACAATGAGCCAGCTTTTAAGAGTTGTTCATACTCTTGTTAACCTTCCTGCATCTTCAGAGTCCTAAAGAAATCTTAATTGAGGAAAACAGAAGGAATTAAGTCTGCAGTGAATATACATAGTCCATCTCAAAGAGCTCTAGCTACCTGGTTTTTCAAAAGTGGCTTAGGAGCCCAGGTCCCACGGACTTTCAGAGAGATTTTAATTAAAAAATACAGGGAAACACTTCTTCGGGGGTTTGTAAAAATTGTATTTTTGTAAGATGTTACTTTTTGACCAATATCGTGTTGATAGTATCAGTTGAAAGTCATTCCCAGAAAAATAAATATATTGGATTAATTGGAATTTATGTAATTTTTAACTTCAAATTGTAGATACAGAAAGTGAAGGCGATTTGGTTTCGATAAGAAGAAAATTTGAAAATGTTAATCTGAAGGTAAAAAACAATTCTGATTCTTATATTTTTGCATTCAGTTTAAGGGATTGGATTTTTTTAATTTAAAATATTTTTATGTGGATTCTGTGTAGGTAACAGGTTCCGGACTTATACCTACAAACACTTAATCCCTGTTCATTTGCAGGTCATTTACAGCCTGGGTAGCAGCAAGCACTATATAAATACAACTTTCTTCTCCACCACTATATTGTCTATTAGGGATGTTAAAATGTGTTTAAGTAAATGTGTAACTGCTGAACATTTCAGGGGTTACACATGGAGGGGGCAGTCGGCTTCCCATGAGCTGGGAAGGTGGTTCATTTTCCGTTCTTGTTCAGACCCGAGGCTACTTACAAGGGTATTAAATAATATTAAACACTTTCTGTGCATTTGTGATCTGGACTGATGCTAACCCAGCCATTTCAAATAAGCAGTTCAAGGTTTTTAGTCCCAGAGAAGACTGTGAGGAATTTGAGAGACCCAATCAAGCAATACAAGTACAATAAGATGGCAAATTAAGTTCAGTGTTCAGACATGCAAAGTAACATACATTGGATGGGGAAAAATGAACTGCTCAAAACATTTTACATGTTTCTGAAGTCACTGTTGACTCAAAAAAGGGACAGGGATGTCAGATGGCTCTATGAAGACCTCAGGTCAATGCAGATCTGTTAGCAAATGATGTTAAGCTACATAAGGTGTGGGATAGAGAATAGTATAATGTTTCTATATAAATAAATGGTGTGTCCTCTGAAATACTGTCTGCAGTACTGGTCACTGGTATCTCTAAAAAGAAATTGCAGAATTAATAGGTTCAGAGACTGGCAAGGAAGGGATGTTGCAGGGTTAGTGGGTTCAAATCAAGGGCATGAAAAACTCATCTGATGAGATAAAGCAGATGGGGATTGTTCACTTTAGAAAAGGATTGAATAAGAGAATATAAACATTTATAAAATAAATAAAAAGAGGCAGTAGATTAGAAATTAGTTTTCCTTGTCTCTTAACACAGAAACAAAGGCCATTTCGTGGCAAATTCAAATTAATGCATTGCATAATTAGACTGAAATACCTTGCTCTCCAAATTTGAGGTCAAGAATTTAGCAAAATCAAAAAGAGATTGCATATGGATATCAAGACTATCAGGAGTTGTTTTAATAATAAAAAAGGTTAAAGACGTGTAAAATCATATATCTCAATGTTAAGGCTATCTTTTAACTATTAGAGACCAGGATAAGACCTAATGCAGGGGAGCAGATGGCTCTACATTGGCCAACTGTGGGGTTCTGACGCTTTTTTGTCAAGCATCTGGTTTGGTCCACAGTTACAGACAGGAAAATGGATTAGTTGAATATAATGTATAATCTAGTAGGGCAAAAAGAATGGAGTCAAATCTCATTTTTATATAGGAGTATGGACTGTCCTTTGCATCTCATTTGTTGGTATACAATAGTTAGCATTTTTTGTTATGATTTGCACCCAATGCATCGCAACTTTATGAAATTTTGTCTGAGTGTTTTTCAGTACTATTAATCTTTTTTACAGATGAGCACTCTGATATACAGGCAGTCCCCGGGTTACGTACAAGATAGGGACTGTAGGTTTGTTCTTAAGTTGAATTTGTATGTAAGTCGGAACTGGTACATATTGTAGGGGAAACTCTAGCCAAACATTACTCCAGAGCTCAGTTTTATTCTCCCACACCTCACTTCCCTCAGTCCTTTATTCTCAAGCTGAGGTGTCTGCTGAGAAAAGCCGCTCCGCGTCTCCCTGGTCTGCTGGAGGGGGGCGCTAGCTTCGCGTCTCCCTGGTCTGCTGGGGGGAAGCAGCTAGTGCGGGGTTGCCTCACCCCGTTTGTAAGTAGGAATCCGATGTAAGTCAGATCCATGTAACCCGGGGACTGCCTGTACAGAGGTTAACTTGCCAGAGGCCAGGTCCATTCTACAGGGGAAGGCCAGATTAAGGTACTCAATTCCAGCTATATAAAACATATCTGGAGTCACCGTACCTTAAGCTGAGCTTCAGTTTCATCCTCGCAGCAGGAGGTCAAGAGGAGAAATGCTCCTGTTGACTTTCCTTTCTCCTGTAAGGAGTAGGAGTTCCTGCAGGTGTGTTCAGCATTCAATTTAGCAGGTCTTTATTAGACCCACTAAATTGAACTCTAGATGATCAACCACTGTAGCATCAATCTTCCAGGAAGTGAAGACATGGTCTAAGGTACCCAACCAGTCAGTGATCTATATCTACGATAAGACCATAGGAGTTCAGAGTAACAGTCTACTATTTTTTACCACTCAACAAGTACCTTTCCCTAAATATTTTCAAACGTTGGCCATTTAAAAATAAAGAAATAGAAGTGAAGAAAGTTTGCTGGAAAACTTCTGCTGAGAAGTTGCTGGAGTGGTATGGGCTTCCTTTTAGGCTATTCACGTATCACAAGTTCACATGTCTCCAAAGGACATAGGAGGTGACTGAATTTCTAATTTCCTATAGCTATTTAAACATTCTTCTAATATGAACATAACTACATATTTGCCCTTAACACAGAGAAAATATATAAAATAATGAAAAAGTTAGGTTATAGTTACTGAACATTTTATACTGCGCTGTGTCTGGCTTTCAGAATAAACATTGTTTATTTGAAATGCAATGACCTGATTAGGTATGTCTTTATTGGTCAATATTTATACTCTTGTGTTTTAACCAATCTTTTGTTGTTTGTCTTCAAGTATTTGAAGCCATAGGGACTTCAAATGTATTTGAATGTTTTGTGAATCTTTCTATTACTAACTCATACTGTGAAAATATTTTGTTGTTGTTGTGGATCTTGCATTTGACTTTTTTTTTCCTTCTGTGAATAAAAGGAGGAAGTTACACTTGTAAACCCTTCTGAGTTGGAAAGGAGAGAGAAAGTCAGAGTTCGTGTGGACGTGATAGTACAAGATGACGAAAGAAAGATCCCTAAATGGATTATGGTAATGCATCTGCTTGATTTGTTAGAATTCATTCAATACTTAAAGCTTGATCTCTTGAAACTACAGATTGGACCTCCCTGGTCTGGCACCTTCAGGACCTGATCGGTCCTGAATGAGGGAATTTGCCAGACCAAGAGAGGTCAATTCTATCCCGCTGCTGATGGACTCAGGACTCTCTCAGGGTACATCAGAGGGCTCTGCTGTCCTGGGGCTCATAGTGCATTCTGGTCCACGGGCTCTCTAGTCTGGCAACATCCATGGTCCTGGTAGACTATGGATGTTGCCTGACAGAGAGTCCTGGCTGACAGAAATTCAACCTGACATAGCCAAACTATTGATTGGTTTGCCTTTGCTAGAGACAATCCAAATCTTCTTAGTGAAAAATAGTGTGACTTCCTTGAAGATGGAACATCTTATTGTCTTAAAAGCATTTGAATAGCTGTTTTGGTTTGGAGATCAGTGATATGCTCCGAGAACTAGCTATCTTGGTTTATTAAGCCCTGTTTTTGGCTGCTGAACTAAGGCACGGTGTCAGTATTTGCCAAGTACATTCATCACTGAACTGGCTCATTTGTGTAACATTCTTTCAGACTTTCAAATATTGTCTTTAGTATCCCTGATTATTTTTTTTCATTCAACATAGGTTATAGTTGCCACTATGCAATAGTGTTGGGCTTTTTATTAAAATTGCCTCCCGGAGACCATCAAGTTATTTTTCTTTGCTGACTGTCACTTGAAATTTTATTTTGGTTGGTTAGTTGGTTGGTTGGTTTTTGGTTTTGATTGGCTTTTGCCCACTGGAAAGCATTATCCTGATGGCTTTGAAATATTGGGGGATGATTCAAAGAAACTGAACAATAATCATTTAAGTACTCTCTTCCATTATAAATTGTTTTCCTGTCATTGTGCTAATTGCTAACATTCATTTGAATAGACTGTCTAGAGAAGCAAATATTTTTGGGCTTGATTTTCATGGAAAATAAGAAATTGAAGAAAGAAGGGAACTGCATGGTTACATAGTAATTCTGTATCATATGGGGCGTGTGTGTGTGTGTGTGTGTGTGTATGTGTATGTTGGTTTTTTTAATTATATTTCTCAGAGGTGCCTACAGTGTTCAGACCTGTGTTCTTTTATAAATGGCAATGAATTTAAATATTTAGAAAATAAATGCTTAATTTAAAATTATAAATATGAGTTCGAATATTTTGCCAAATGTCGTTTTTCTCGAGGTTTGTATCTGTTGCTTTGTGTCATAAAACATCCTGTAACTGTAACTGACGCAAAAGCAAATCTTAAGTACGACATTTCCTTTGTTTTACTGAGCTCTTCAGAGTATGGTTCTTGTCTTTTGCACAATGGAACCACAATCCTGAATGGAGCGTGGGTGTCACTCTAATATAAACATAACTTACTAAATGAGTTGTGTGGGACTTTTCAGGTTGCACCTAGAGAAAAATCAGAGAGTTTTCATATAACATTTCCATGGAAAGATCGGATGGATATGACTAAATCTCCAGTTGGTGAGTACGACACAGAACTGTAGATATTTTAAAAAAAATTATTTAAATTTCAGAAAAGTGTGTTCACCTGAACATAAAGATAACAACAGTTTGATTTCTTAAGAAACATATAGGGCCATTGTCAATGTTTTGCCACAGGTGTATTTTAAACATTAAAAAACAGAGTTATCTCTCATAAATGAACTCCTCTATTCTAAAATAGAGAGAAAAGATGCATTTAAAACCCCACAGTCTCATGGGTGTCTTCTGTTTGGCAGTAATTGCTGTACAATATGTCCTTGTTCAGGAACATTGTGAAGATAATAGGCCTGATTTTTGCAATCTTTAGATGGGGACAAACTTGCATTGAAATCTGGTGCTCTTTTCAAGAAGGATTTACTGCTTCCACATAATTTTCACATCTAAATAGTTGTTGCTATCAGATAACCAACCATTCTATTCCCTAATGTTTAAGACAGGGTGATTAATGGGCATCTAATTGCCTTTGTGCCTTTGAAAATAATTTCCTTGCGGTATATAATGTCCTGGGACTATGGACAGTCTTCTTGCTCTTTCCACATTTTTTTGGACTTGAGTTTCTAATTACAAAACGTGGGCAAAAGTTGTCGGACAAAAGTTGATGTTTAGGGAAAATCACTGTACTTCTTTAAGGAAACATAACATTTAAGAACTCTACATAAGACTGTGCCCTTGGTTTCATTCTACAATTGAACTTTGTTAATTTACACATTGCTGATACCCAGATTGTGATTTACCCCCAAATCAGTAGTCTTTTTCCTATTTCACATGGAGTTAGGAGTGGAGTGCTGCCATTTGATAGTCTGTTACTTTTATGGCAAATACTTCAAAATACTTTGTAACTTAGTATGTTATCTTACTATACCTATAAAAATTTTTCCTGTGGGACGACAGAATGATGTCATCATGTCACTCTGCATCCCATAGAAACATTCCTCGCCCACCCCCCTTTCCAGCGGTCAGAGGGAAAGCTGGATCTGGTGCAGCTGGAGCCTGGCCCCTCCCGGTGGGAAAACTGGACCAGTGAGGCTCAGGTCCAGGCCCTCCTGGTGGGCGAGGGAAAACCGGACCTGGGAGTCAGAGTTACTGCTGGAGTTACTATTAGGCCACGGTGAGGGCCCTGGTTGGTGGATGGGGGGAAAAGGATGGGGGAAGGAAAAAGGGGACCTTGGTTGGAGGAGGATAGAGGGGGCGCAGCAGGGAGGAGAAGGGGGGTCCAGGCTGGGGAAAAGGGGCGGGGGCTGGAGCAGCAGGGGGCGGGAGAAGGGACCCTGGCTGGCATGGCTGCAGCCCAGCCCTCCCTTGTGGCCAGAGGGGGAGAGCCAGGATTGCCTATCCTCATGACAGAGGGGTTAGCAAGCAGGGGGCACAGCCCCCTAGTTCATTACAATATTGTTTTTAAATTATAATCGTCAAATGAATATAGTATATTTTATGACATTTTTGTCTTTGCTTGCTAAGAAATTCACATTGGCTTCCCAGTCATTATTGCAGATTTGGTATGAGGGCAATGAAAACATTTTGAGCTAACGTTCGTTCACTACTAAGTGTTGTACTTACTGTTGTTGTTGCAAAAAGTCCTTTTTGAACAAAGCTCATTTATGCCCTAGAAGAACTTGTACTCCAAGATGTTTTCTGCGGTCTGTTATAGTCTCGGACAAACATTCATGAAATTTTAATAAAATGTACTTGTCCAACGGCCATCCTTGAAAAGCTTTATTAAAAGCACATGTAGATCAACACTGCAACAATATTTGCACCATCTGACATATAGAATTATACATATTCTGTGCAATTAATACATCACTAGAAGTTTCTAATCACTGTTGTGTATAATTTTATTTGGCCTAATGCATAACCAAGCTAATGGTTTCAAAAAGAAAACATAGTCTGGAAATGTACTCCTGCATCCAGATATCTCATGCTATATGTTTCTGCTTTTGTTTTACTTTGTCAGATGAAATAACTATACCAAAACACATATCTTTACTGGAAAAAAATGAATCGGGATATGATAGCTTCATGGAAGAGTACCAATCTGCAGATGAAGAATGTTCCTGGAACAACGTTACGCTTGCAGATTTGTATCCAGGAATGGTGGAGATACTTAGCAAGTTGATGAACAAACACTCTCGAAGAAAAGCAGCTGAGTCCATAATCAGACACTACAAATACAGAGAATGGCTTCCTAAAAAATCAAAGCTTAATATCACCTTAGATAGAATAAAAAGGTTCAGGACATCTAAGTTGAAGCCTATACTGCCTGAGACGCATAGTAATGATCATAAATTGCCTGTTGGGAAAAATTTAAATGAGAGTAACCAACTTATTTATGATAGCAAATGTCAGGCACAGCATGTGACTAATGATGAATCTGGTGTGGTATCTTGCCCACGTGTTAGTACAAGTGAAATGGAAATAGATTGGCCTAGAAATTTAGAAGGTAATTCATACATTCAAAGAATAGACCAAAACATCTCAAAGTCTGTTTTTCCAAATGCCACTGTTAGAACAGAAGAAACATTTCTAACTGAGGGTCCCTCTCAGACCACTGTATTGTTACATGACTCAAATGGCAGCCCAAATAGGAAGCTGCCTGAAGTACTTTCTCTGGAATGCTTTTCTTCTGTAAGTTGCACAACATCTCCTTTTCCAACGAAGGAGATCAGGAACAAAAAAATTGACAATAAAGATTTCAGTGGTATGTCAGGGTTCCCCTTGTCTACTTATAATGTGAATGGCGATGCTAACACCATTCCACCACTTAACTATTCTCTTGTAAAAACCTCAAGTACATTAATTAGAAATCCTGAAGTAAAAACTTTCAGGGGAGGAGTTTCATTGCAGCGCAGTCATTCTTTTTCCTCGCTTCCTATAAATCAAAGTCCCGTCAAGACTCGCCAGAAATGCGAAGACGAATTTGAGAAGCTTTACCAGAAGCTGTGCCCCAAAGAACTTCAGAAACCTCTGACGTTCACAAAGCCTCTTTCAAATCCTAAAGAAAAAGAGAGACTAATCAAGTCTTACTTCTTCAATTCGGTGAAGTCTCGTAAAAAATATGACAGTGCATTTGACAAGGTTTACCAGAGATTATGTTCGGACGGGCTTCTAAAACTGCCTACAATTCTGAGAGCTTCAAATTTAAGGAAATATGAAGGTATACAGATGTCAGAAACTGTAAATGCTCTAATTAACTCACCCGTACGAACTTTACCTTCAGTTACCAGAATTAAAAGAATAGCAGATTTCCACAATGATGATCTTTTAACTTCACCTGTAAAGAGACTGAAAAATATACCTGAAGATGTTTTTCCTAAAACAAGTAATCAGACTCCTCATAGAAAAAATAATCTTCAGACAACTGGCTTGGACTTCTCAAGTGTCATGGATGGGATTGTTGCTGGCATATTTGATAGCCCTAATTGTCAAAGTCAGGCATCTAAAAACTTTGTAAGGACACTTTTACTATGCTGGTTTTGGTTGACAGTGTGCAAAAGGATAAAATATCATAGCTTTTTAGAAAAGATTTGATTTAGTCCCAAGAGAAACTTCAAGTCCGTCTAGCATTTCTGCTTCAGGTTTTTGACCACTGTGGTTGAAATTCTTGAAGTGCATTAAGCTCTTCGGCCTCCAAATACCATTTGTTGGGAGAATTTGCACTTGCCTTTAACTTAGAATATGGCCCCTAAAATACTTCAACAAAATTATTAGTTTAATTATAGTTAAATGCAATTGAGTTTAAAAGGAATACAATTTCAAACTGTATGAACTTTGTTAAATCATCTTCATAGCCCTGTGTGAGAGAACTGATCTGGACAAGCTAAAGGCCTGGATTTGTTAGATTTCTGTTAACCTGGGAGAGTTCTAAATCAGGCCCTTAGTCTCAGCTTGACAAAGCCCTGGCTGGGTTGATTTAATTGGGATTGGTCCTGCCTTGGGCAGCTTGATGGCCTTGATTGCCACTTGATGGCCTTCTGAGGTCTCTTCCAGCTCTATGGTTCTATGATTCAGGGTTTTGATTTCCTTGTTCTGACCCAGGTTGTGAACTATAACATGCTTGTAAGTGTTCAGTTTGATTTAATTTCTCAGTGCTTCATTTTCAGGATTCTGGGTTTCATGCATCTTCCAACCAGACTTTTCTGGTTAGTCCAAGTACTTTTGTGCAAGGTAAGTTTCAAAGGGTATGAATTATTTTATCAGTTGGGAGGACTTTTTACAGGAAAGTCAGATAGACTGCTAATTCTTTATTTCAGCTGCACCTGCATTAGTATTTCTCCTAGTTAAAGTTGTCTATATTTACAATTCAATACACTTTTTTGGGGGTCCTCTAAATTAGCCATAAAACCTCCGGTCTTAAGCTTATGAGGACACTTAACTTGAAAAATCTCAATGCTTTTTGAAAACGGTGTACATATTCTTGTTGCAACAAGTACATAATATAACCTGAGGCTACAGCTACACAATGAGTTTTGCCGCACAAGCCTATGCAAATGAAGCGCGGATTAGCATTTTCCCGTGCTTCATTTGCACATTTTCATGCTAGGGCAGGAGTCCCCAGTGCGTTGCCCACGGGCGCCCGCCGGGCCATTTATGTGTGCCCGCCAAACAATCTGGGCTGGCCCCGCCCCCAGGTATGTCGCACAAGCGTGGTGCCGGCCCCTGGCGCGTGGGCGGCCCCTGCCCCGGGTCACAGCATGTGCTGGCCCTGGGTGCCTGGCACATGGGCGGCCACTGAACCAGGGTCGTGATGCATGGGTGGTCTCTGCCCTGGGGTCACAGCGCGTGCCAGCCCCAGGCATGCGGTGCATGCATGGCCCCACCACCGGATGTGCAGTGCCCCCGGACTCGCGGCCCGTGAGCGGCGTCCCCGGGCGCTCGGCAGCCCCAAAAGGTTGGGGACCAGTGTGCTAGAGGTTTTTGCGCAAAAACCCCTTTTTCCACAAGATCCTTATGCTTGTCCCGGAGAGGCAAAAGGATCTTGTGGGAAAAGGAGGTTTTTCACAAAAAGGAAACGTCCGCATTGCTTGTTTTTTCACAAAACCCCCTTGCGCAAAAGCGGATCGGAATAGATTATGCAAATGAAATGTAACAAGTTGGTAATCAGAGCTTCATTTGCATTGCCTCTGCCAGCAAAGTGCATAGTGTAGACAAAGCCTTGGTGTGTTTTGCCAGTATGGCACACTTATCCCAGCAAAGCCTTCCCAGGTGTAGATTTGGTCTAAATCTGTGCAAGAGTTAACCTATATTGGTATCATCAACATAGTTATAGTAATAAAATTTCATATTTTTGGGAACCACATTTTTTCCATAGCTTATCCTTTGTAGAACAGTTTGGCAGAGATCCAGCCTTGGGTCTCAAAGGAGGCATCGTTTACCTCAGATGTTGTTTTCTTTTGTCATCCTTGGCTTACATCCCTAGAATCTCCTAGTGATAACTATGAGAGAGGAATATTTTAATCCTGTAAGAGCAAAAGTGGAAAATAGTATGTAAACAAGCTGGACTTTTTTCCTTTAACGTTATTAGAAGTGAAAGACAGAACTGAATAAATGTATAGAAAGTAGAGATGAAACGTTCCTGTGAGGTTCTGTAGTCCATCTCCCTGCCAGTTCAGAGTATTATTTTCAGTTCTGTAGTTAGTCTTTGCATTTCCCAGGTGTTGGAGCTTCCACACATCTTTTGGGTTTAGGATTCTTCAGTCTAAATAGCTTTTGCTGTCAGCTTTTGTTGTTTCCCTCAGATATTCAGCCAAATATTGACATTTTTATTATATACTGCCTTTTCCTGTCCTGCTTGTATCTGTGGTGTGCTAATACTATTTAAATTGTTTGTATCCTGCTGCTGTGTTTCTGTCCATATCTGATTAAACAGTCACTATCAAAATAAGTATTTAACTGTTTTAATAATTCTTTATAAATCAATCACAGTGGCTGCCTCCTAGTCATTTCCTGTTGCTGTTCCTTAATTCTGTCCTGTTAGTATAGATCCAGTAATAATTAGAGTCCTGCAAAACTGGATATCTACTTTATATACGCTTCCATGGACCAGTGTGTAGAGATCACCGATGGATGCAGATCCAGATTTTATATCTGCACGGGATTCTAGTAATGGTCCCAGAACTGAATGCAGGTCTGATGACATACAATTGATACGGAAAAGGGACTTAACTTTCTACTGATAGGGTGTTTTGTAAGCAAATTGCACTAGCTTTTTTTGGTATAAGATAGCATTGCAAATAGATCTCTCATTTGCCCAGTCCCATCAGTTTCAGCGTTTGCTTTGTACGTTTCCCAATCCCTTTGAAAATTTCTGTTCTGAATTATTTTCCCCACTCTCAAATTGAATTCCCCCCACCCCCGCATGCTAGCAGTATTTCTTTGTCTCATTTTTCCCAAATGAGTCTCATTTCTTGCTTGCTCTGAGTTGTTAGGCTCTTATGTCCTTTTGTATTATTTCCCTTAATTTATATTTGAAGCTCCCTGCAATGCCTTTCTGTGGTCCTAAGTCTAATTGAAGATATTTCTATCACTTACTAATGTTGATAAATTATAAGGTCTTTAAAGGAAATTAGTTTTACTCGTAAGTATGTTCGCTGTTATAAAATACAAATTGTATTTGAAATTTAAATTTGGCCAGAGGCTTTCACATAAAGACGGTTCATTATATTTTGCAGATGGAAGTAAGTTGATGCTTCCTTCTAATACTCAAAACTGCTCTTCTGAACTGGCTCCTAAAACCAGAATAGTCCAGTATTTTAATATACTGTACCTAATTAGGGTGCTCAGTGTAATGCTTAACCTTATGACACCATTAATTTTATCACCAGAATCCAGGATTGCAAATGTCTATGCAAGTATCCCCAGGACATTACAAAGTAATCACTCATCCAGGAGTGCACAAAAATATCAACAAAGGCAAGTGACTTTTCAGTAGTTACAAAAATTGCAGAAAAATAAGTTCATCTTATCGTAAAGGAAAAAAAGTTTACAAATATGCTGTGCTTTTTTTTTTTTAAGATGGTATTTTGTGGAAGTATATATAGGTTATGGATTTATGACTACAGTTAATGATACTATGTTGGTCTTCATATAAACCTGTATTTTTAGGACTTCCAGTAATTCATTGTATCGTGGGAATTTTTCACACTGAGACTTTAAAGGGTGTAGTTATTATATATAGGTGATACATTTAAATAATATATTTTTCTATGTGCATGTGTATGGCATATGCAATAAAATATAAAACATGGCATTGATGGTGCATTCTTTGCATACTGTATATATCAGCGGTGGGCAACCTGCAGTCTGCATGCGTCCCACTAGGGTTCTGCCTGCAGACCCCCTGTCTGCTCCCCTTCCCCACTGTTCAGGCTCTGAGAGGGATGGGGAAGAGGGAGACCGAGCTTGAATAAGGTGATTCATGGCACTCTGAAAGTGCTGGGAGGAAGGGAAAGAAATAGGAAGTGCAGAATTCCAGTGCATGAGAGGCATGTGGGAGAAGGGAGCAGAGAGAAGATACGTGGACTTCAGGTAGAACCCCAGTCACCTACAGGCTGCAGGTTGCCCACCACTGGTCATGCAGCCCATTGAGATGAAGGGCAACTTATGAAGGGCAACTTGCTATTCTTGGTTGCCCTTCTCTGGTATATATGATCATGTTCGTGTGATAAATTTCATCTATCACATATTGATGACATCTTGTCTGTTTTTCCCATTTATAGAAAGAGCACTACTAACATTTCAATCTACAGATATAACTAGTGGACATCTGAAATCGTTTTGAAACATACCACAGAATTTGCTTCTCTTCTCATTAAATGTGTTTTTCCCTAAATCCTGTCCTTATAAAAAATTTCTTTTGAGACCCAGAGTTAAGAACTTTAGTACACTGACAGGTTCAGGTTTTGACTTCTTTTGGCATGGTAGGGCTAGGAACAGATATAATATTAGCTTTCCAGTTGACAAATAGTTTTAACTTGTGATTTTAAGAATAGGTCAAGGTAACATAGGTTTTTGAAACCTCACCTCCCTCAGCCTTAGTTAGTTAAACTCAGAACTAATAGAACTTTATAGGTAACAGAATACACCATATAAAAAAAAATAAAAGATGTACTTTCAGAAAATTTCCCTAACACATAAAGTATACAAAAAATGTAGTTGGCTGGCCGTGTGTGTTTCTGCAGTTTCATTTCCTCTCCTGCTTAAACTGCTTGCAGTGTTAATTTTGTAAAATTTAAGTATGGAATCTCTCTGGTTGAGGTCAGTCTTTATATATGATTCTTTGTGCATACAAGGAACAGGCTCCATGTGAAAAGTATTATTGAGTTTTCCATTGCTAACCTATCTGGAATAGTAAACGTGTTCCTTAATTGAAAAATCAGTGACTGTGCATTTGTGTAACCAGAATTAAGATTCGGAGAGTTTCCTCAAGCCAGCATTATGATAGCTTTAGAAGTCTAAGATGACTGCAGTAAACATCCTGGAAATTGAACTTGTCCTAAGCATTCTTGAAGTCTTCAGAATCTTAGTCAAGTAGATAGAAAAGCAGCTGTATTTTTTAATCAACAGCAGGGGAAGAACTAGATAAATCCTCTTGTGTGGGGAAAGATTTTGGATTTGGCAGCCACCATCTAGAAGCTAATTAAAAAGGATCAACTTCAGAGAAGGAAAGGTCAATAACTAGCAGATTTATTACACATCTGTATGAATTGTTGGCTCAGACTGTATTGGGTTGGACCACTTGAGGGTGTGATCAAAGTGGATTAGTTTACAACAATTTTAAATAACAAGCTGCCAATCCTAAAATTCCTGAGGGGGGGGAAAATGAAAAGCAGATGAGTGGAAGAATTCTGTATTTGCTCCACTAGAGCAAAACTTCAATTTATGTTATACACAGGCTCCGGAAATCCACGGATATCCACTTTATATCTGTGAACATTGCTGTAGACATCCGCGACCCATTTTTGTGGATAAGGATATAAATTTTTTACCTGTGTAGGGCACTATAGTTACATGTATGAAATAGATAGGTTACAATTTTTAAAAACACAACTATGTTAAAAACAGATTTCATTTAATTCATGTTAAGGCATTGGTACAACAGAAAAATAAGGGATTTTCTGCACTTGGGTAGGTGTGGGAATTCCTATATTAGGCTCATTTTTGCTTTGACTTTCAGCTTCTGTTCTGTACTTTTGGAGTTTCAACTAGCACGGATGGTTTTTAACTTTATGATCTAAAATTCTTTTCCAGGGTATCCAGAAAACTCAGTTACAATGACGGGAGAGAGAGAAGCTCAGGTATTCTTTTGGAAGACTTCATTGCCAAAGATACACAAGGAGCATTGGTGGAAGGCTACAGAGAAAATATTATTTTATAAATTTGCAAAGGCACCAAAGACATTTTAATTAATCTTTGCAATCTAAAATTGCATTTCTTGGTGGGAAGGCTGCTGAAGAATAGTGCTCTAATACATAACTAATCCTGGCATGTACCATGTTTCTCATCCAAAATAAGTCCTTGGAGATCACCATCAGCCATGGCAAGTAGGGCACTTTCCTTGATGAGGAGCCAAACATTTGGGTCCAGAAGCCCACTGGAGGGAATCAAGGTTCTTTCTTCAGGCTATTTGCTTAACTTGTACATTTAATAGTGTTTGTCATAATCTATTCTTGTGATTTTCAATTTTTTTGTTTGTATACACACGGATTTTAATATGCTAATATTAATGTACATAGGCTTTGTATTCCATCAGTATTTCTAGCTCTCCCTGCTTTATATATTCACATATTGGGCTCCTGAATACACTGTTTTGTAAGGTCCAAATGTAGTGCAATGTGACCGTACTATCATATTTGAAATTTACTTCAGCATAATTCTTAATTGCTCAATAAATTTTTATATTTAGTAAAGCAAATATTAACTTGGTATTGCAATGTCATTGTTCCCAGTTTTACAAATGACAGTTTCATCATAGTGGAATGTAGTACATACTGTAAAGCACAGGAAAAAATGACATGTCAATGAAGCCATTAAATATGTGATAACCCATCAGAGGCACCAGAAGACATTCAGGCTCTTATTCTTGGGGAAAGTAGAATATATTTGCCAGCTGTTCAATCTTGATACTGGTGTGTGTTCTGAAAAATTTGCTTGCCTGCCCCATGTTTAGTACTTCAAAGTCAAATGCTTTCTGAGATTGACAGAGCACATCACTTCAGTTGGTGTACGTCTGGCCTAGCTCCCATTCCAGCGCAATCTTTTTAGCTGTTCAGACACACCTCAGGTAATCATTACATTGGGGGTCTGTCTGGTTTTTATGACTGCACTTTCCCTTCCTTTCTTTGCAGTAAGACTGTTCTAATGTAATTGCTACAGGTTATACCTCCCTGATCTGGCACCCTCAGGACCTGACTGGTCCCAAATGAGGGAGTTTGCTGGACCAGGGATGGTCAATTCTGGCGCCTCTGGGCCTCCAGCCTCCCAATCAGGCTTCCCTCGAGCCCAAGATCCCACTGCTGACCTGGCCACTGGCCTCCACTGCAGGCCCTGGCCTGACTCCCTGCCCCTGGCTGTGGGACAAGCTCTGCTGCCAGCTCTCCAGCTGGACCACTGGCTCCATTTCCGACTCCTAGCTGGACTACAGCACTGCTCCTGGCTGCTGGCCAGGCTCTGGGCCTCTGCCACTGAACTCCCAACTGACCCTCGTGGCTCTCTGATCCATGGGCTAGATCAGTGTTTCTCAACCAGTGGTACAACTACCTTAGGGGTACTCGACAGAAGTTTGGGGGGGGTACGTCAAAACAACTGAAATTTGGAGAAAACTGAATTTTTGTTTTAAGTCTTACAACGCTTTATTATTTTTCATTTTTTACACATACAAATTTCATCGCCTGCCCAGTTACAATTAAGTTGTTTAAACAAATGTGTTGCAACGGGAGAAAAAATTTTTGTCTGAAAACTGTAAATACTGGGGGTACTTATAATTTTTTTTTTAAAGGAGTACTTGATAAAAAGGTTGAGAAATACTCATGGATCATGGATGTTGCCGGATCAGAGAGGTTCAACCTTTAGTATAACTGTTACGAGTATGAAGCCACTTTATTATAGCTCTCTCAGTCCACTGGAACATTCTTCCTTTTCCCAACCAGTCCTGAGAGGTTTGCTGTTTCCTAAAAGTTAGAAGAATTGTTTTACGATGTCTGGTGCCCATTAGGTCACGTGCACATACCCTGTGTGTCCACAATAACTCTAACTGGCCATTATTGCATCCCTCGGGAAGTACAATCAAGTGTTGCCTATGCATGTGACTTAGTACCTGGAAACAGTGCTCCCTCTAAGCTGCGCAGCAGCACAGCTTTCCAGGTGATTAATCAGCTCTGCTCAGTCAGTCAGCTCCCTGCACAGAGCCCTGAGCTGTGTTGCTGCGCAGGTCCTTGCTAAACCCACTAAATTGAACCTCAGAAGAGCAATCTCCGAAGTGTGTCTCTCTGGGTAAGTATAGACAAGGCTTAAGATGAGACTTCTCATCTGTTCTTTGGGAAACCAGACAACTAAGATAATTTTATTGGGAAAATTAATAAAGCTATAGCCAGGAAAAATACCTGAATTTTTTTTTTAAAAAGTGTTGCTAGGTTGTTGCTAAACCTAGTAGTAGTAAAGGCTTTTGTGTATATAATCAGAAGTCCTTCATCACAATCTTGGACATTCTCTTTTGTTTGCTTATCCTGGAGGATGTAGCAAAAGAGTATAAATAAGTTAGTTATAAGATTCCTTTCACTGGGTTGGTTTTGTGGGGGGGAAGGGGTTGTTTATCTTTATGAACAATAAACAATTATTTTTTGTATATAGTTTTGTTGGCTTGTCTTCTTTCCTGTATCAAACATACATGACTAGTAGGTGATGTGTTCTTTCCAATGGCTCATCTGAAATAAAATTCTTCCCTACTCACTATATAATTCTTCCCTGCTGCACCACTTCACTTGAAGTGGATGCCATTACATACAGTTTGGTTCTATGGCTCTCCTAACACCCCTGACTGATCTCCCAAATACTCTCCGTTCTCAAAATAGTTGCGTGCATAATCTACTCTTGTTTTCACTGTCCCAGAACATCTTTAAAGTATATTTGAATGTTAATTAGCAGGTCCTGGCTCTTCTAGGGTAATATTCGCAATATTAGCGACAAAAGATGAGGTCCATTCCTGCCTAGGAGTATTGTGGAATTCTTACTTGGTTAAGATACAGCAAAAATTATTCAGTGAAAAGCGATCAGATTGAGTTTTAAGTAGTTAGATTCCAAACCATTTCCCCAACTGATTGGAAAATTCTAGAGAAGTAGTCCAGGAAAAACCTCAAGAGGAATTTGTTTGATCCTGTATCTGATAATATCTGTAAGTGAATGATGTTTCTCTATTAAGAAATGCTGAGAGTAGTGCACGTGCACACACAAATTCCTCCAATTTTGTTGTCCTTTGTTTTTCACTATCTAGGAAATGGTGATGTAGTCAAGAAGCCCTACTGAAGTGCTAAATGAGACTGTTGAAAAACTGATATGATAACATAACATTTTCTTGTCTACGCAGTACCTTTTCTGTCTGGTCTGCTATCTGTCATTGGAGTTATCTTTCCCCATTCACTTTGGCTTTGTTCTTTTTTCCTCTTGTTGGTTTCTATTTTGACTTTTTTTTCTAATGTAAAATAGTGAATAAATATAAAAAAACCTACTTCTGATACGATGAAGGTGGCTTTAGATTATACTCTTGTATCATTACTTTTTTTGTTATTAATATAGTAAGAAAATATTTAAATAGTGTTCAGAATAAACATCTGCATTATCCTAAGAAATGTACATGTATATTTCACAGTAATTGTTTTTTTACAATAAAAGTTTAATCAATAACACCAAACGTTACATCATGTCCACTAGGTGATATGTTGCCTGAAGAGCAGGGAAGAATGTTCAAGGTTGTTTTCAGGAGGCATTCAGCAATCCTCTAAAACCAACTATTCCCTTCCCCCAAAAAAGGCTATTGCTGAACCAGGTTATAGTTTTCAAAAAACGTAATGCCTAAACACAACAGGTTTACTCCAGATTAAAAGTGAACATGAGGGCAAAGACCAAGAGCAATATGCTTCATCTTTGCAGCTGGACTAGAAAAAAAAAATCTCTCACACAGCAATAGTAGAAATGTCTCAGGAAATAATTGACAAGGTGATTGTTTGTTTATCCTAAAATGGAGGCTGGGATGAAAACTAGATAAATTAACCTTTGTAGTGATCAGCCAGAGAAGGCAAGCCAAATGCAGGAGTGGATCTCTTGATAAATTCCATTTGTTTCTCCCACCAGTAATAAATAAATAAATAAATTAGAAGCCCTATGTTTGTGTAAACTGTTCATGGTCTACTGAACTCAGTGAAGGCTGACAATTCCACAGAATTTAAGGATGTAGTCAAAGTGAAGCAAGTACTTAAATCCCATTGACTTGAATGGGCATGAAGTGCTTGTGGAATTGTGCCTTTGTAATCTTCTCTGAACCTTTATAATCAGAGATGGGATTTTTCAGTATGAGAGAGGGAAGCCAAAGATCCAGTCCATGCCAATTCACTTTCAGAATATGATCTGAAGAAGTGGGTCTGCCCCACGAAAGCTAACTGACCATCTTGTTAGTCTTTAAAGTGCAACATGACTGCTTTTTTGGTTATAGCACAAGAAGTGTGTCACAATGTAACTGACACCTTTGAAAGGGATTAGGGATTACCTGCTGCCCAATTGTGCTTAAGGAAAGGCACCAGAGCTAGACAGCTGCAGATTGTTAGTAGTTAATCACAAACACTGCCTTGCTGGGAGCTGAAGAGCACTGGATCTCTAGGGGAAACACATGCATAGAAGAGGAACTGGTCACAGCTGAAAGTGGTGTGAAGAGATTGTAAGTCTGAGTTTTCTTTAGAAGACTTTCTGCAGATCTTAATAAACTGGACCCCATGAGGGCAAATGTTCTTGATATTTGGCTTCTGTGGGCTTATAAGAGACTAAATTAAAAGGAAACTCAGGTGGGCCTCTGCAGAGCTAGCAAGGAGTACTGTGGAGTAAGTGTGTCTTTTGAGAAAAACAGGAAGTAACAGACCTTGACCAATCTTTATTTAGACAAATGTTGAAGCCACCTGTATTAACTGATAACATATTCCTTGGCTTTTTCCCTATTAATACTTGTCCAATGGGCTGTTTGGTTGCTTAATTAGTTTGATAAGCCTTGCTTTTATCACTTTGAAAGTTGTGATACTAGCTCTGTTCACTGTCAGTTTATTTAGATTACTTATATCTTACATTTCACCAGAGATGCTGTTGAAAACATTTTTGGCTTGTGGGGCCAAGAGCTTGCTAATATACAGCTCAGTCTTAACTTTGATTTCAATCTCCCTCTACAATGGTAACTAGACCGTAACACTTTCAAACATGACCAGATTAAGACAGCATTTCTGATGTCCCTGTGTTTAGGTTCAAGTTTACCTCTTTTGGGAGGGAGGGGAGGAGTGCTAGCTTGGATAAGTGTTTTCATATGTTTTGTGTAATTTCTATTGATTCCTTACTAACATCTTATTTCTGCCTCTAACATTAGTTGCCTACATCTCATTTAGAATGAAATAGTTTCCAGGAGAGCAAGCCATTTGGGTGTTGCTTTTACATGGGTCTGTGGGCAATCAAGTTCTCAGTTCTCCTTGGACCCTAGAGCCCATAATGCTTTTCATATGGGGAAAAGCTATTCCTTTTCCTGGCACTCATAGGCGACATCAGTATTATAGCAGTGGTGTATCATTGTTTGCTGCTATTACTATTTAGCACCCACAATATGCCATACATAAAACGAGACCAATCTTTGCCACCCAAGAGCTTTCAAGCTAAAATGGTGCTGCAAGTTCTAAGCAAGACACATGCATATAGTTACTGAATTGTTTAGGGACAGGAAAAGCCTTTTCAGTCCCCAATCTTCCTAAAACAGTTATTGAAATGACAATGTAAAACCCACTAAAAATCATTCTGCCCTCCTCGAGAGGCTTATTTTCCACAGGTCATTTGCCACTTTCTTTACAGACTGAATACAGACAGAGAAAATGTTATTGGTTGAGATAGAATCTAGTACTGTTCACCATAGGAAGCTAAAAGTATATAATGATATCATTAAATTTGCTGGGTATTCAAAGCACTCATTACATGAATGGAAGCAGTTACATTATTCTCTAATTAACCTTAAATAGTACTGCAGGTCACAGTAGGAAAGTACTAAATATTGAACAGCAGAACAAGTTTTAACTATAAAATCAAGCAAACTTTTCAATATGCCAGTCTTAAAGTGCCTGTGATGGTTTCCCAAACTACTCGTGAAACAACGAAGAATGGGTAAAATATGCTAGCTTTCTACAGGTGACAGAGTGGCCCATTTCAAATCCCTTAAAGTGGGATCCATGGACAAGTGAAGGAGTAAGTCAGCCAGTACAGAATGACTGTTAATTTGAGGTCAGATTCTAGGAGGTACGCTGCTCCTGTAACTCCTTTGCAAAGTAGAAGACTATGAAGGTGGTAAACTCTTCTTTGAGCTGCTTTAAAATTAGCCATCTGTGTCTAACGTCCTGCTGTCTACTGACCTAAACTGTCTGCAGTTACATTCAGCAGACAATTTGAATGCATCACTTACCTGTTTGTCATCGATCAGCGTTTCATTTACCAAGCATTTATCTCAAATTAAGGATACTATTTATTCAGTCTTTCCCCTCAACATAAACAGATGAAAGATCTACTTGATCTTGTGCAAACAGTCAGTTGAGGCAGGGGTCCTCTTTAGATGTTGTATGAATCAAGCCAAATAGTCTGATGGGGTCATCATGAATGGCTTCCTCTGTTGGTTGATTTTCAGCAGCCAGCTGGTCACTGTTGAGATAAATGCTGGTTTGGGAAGCCAGGGTGTTGGTTTTAGATGGCATCTCTTCTTCATTCACTTCTAAAGGAGCTTTCTTTTTCCTAGGCTTTCTGTGTTTTTCCTTGATGCTGTGATCAAGGGAGGCATAACACATCTGAGTTTCAGTCTCCACCTAAGAGGAAAATCACGTGTATTCAGTTCAATACTTTTGTTAATTACTACACCTTTAAGACTTTCACTTCCTTAAGGCAACCCACCAGTCTCTTCAGCACAGCATTTTTGTGAGAAGTTGCACTGATGTATTGTGTAAGTTGGTGGATCTCAAACTATTTTCTGCCAAAGCCCCCGTCACCATATGACTAAATGTCCTGTACCACCCTTCATTTCTGGTGCTACTGGAACACATTTGACAATGTGACCTTTCACTTTGTGTGTGACATCATGCTATGTGGAGGATGACCTGTAGAGAACAAAATGGCATCTTCCACGCTGCAAAAATTCCTGAATGCTTTTCTGTTCCAGCCTGGCTTAAGGACAGCCCCCTGCATAGCTCATGTTTCACACCCAGGGGTGTGGGAACCCAACCCCACTTTGGTAACCACTACAATAAGGTAGCCCCAAACTTTTTTAATTCAGTGATATCACTGGATGGCTTTCCATCCCTATTCCCCATCCCCCTGTTCATGGTATTTAATGAACAGATAACTCATTAAATGTTTTTTTCAAGGTTTGCATAATCCTGCATAATGCCCAGCTGTGTGTATGGGAGGTAAGGGAGACGTGCAGGGGAGATGTATGGTGTGGCCACGGGATGTGGTATTGACTCTGGGTCTTATGTTTTGATCGTATTTCTCTTGTACTGTGCATGTTAGAGAATCAAATAGATCTATATCCCTAATGCATTCATGATTACCATGTTTTTCACTTGCAACTTGTTAGTAACTTATTTTTAACTTATCTGGCCATTGCTTAATTTACCATAATAACCAAAAATCCTGCTTTTTCAGTTTTTAATACAGTATCTCAATGCTGCAAGGCTGAGCACATTACAAAACATTGGTGGTAGTAATAATACTAAAATGCCTTCAACATGTAATCATTGATCTGAGGAATGAGTGAATTGACAGATTTGATGCAACTGACACACTTGGCTGGTACTTATCTGCTTCCAAACCTCAATTAAGGCCCTAGAGCAAAAGATCTGTGTACACACTTAAGAGCTCTTCTGAACTGGTATGCCCATTTGTGTGAGGAGGAAACAGAAGTCTTGGGCTGTATTCTGCTATTGGATACATGTGAGGAGCTCTGTGGCAAAGTGCCTTCCTTAATGCAGAAGTCTGAGAGCAAGAATATAAATAAGAGTACCTTTACTTCATTAGCGAACCTCCGAGGACGGGCCTTCATTTGTTCATAGCAACACTCATCTAGAGCTTATTAGAAATGAAAAAGATTTCATAGTGGTTAGAAGATGCTGTCTGTGATTAGACACTGTATTATAGATTAGACACTCCACGCCTATATTAATGGAAGTTCAGGTTCTACGTTATAGTCCCTCCCTGACTCCTTCCAAGCTTCCAGGAAATAAAAAAGCTAGGAAATGCATGGTAGCATTTGTATTTCTAGCACCAGATTATGGGACAGTGGATTAGTTGATCAGCAAAAGCCTTACAATTTGGTAAACACTGACAGATTTGATCGAGCTTGATGTGATTTGTCAGGTGTCTCATGCTAAATATAGCTGAGCAGAGACAGTATTTGAGTAAGAGAAATATCCTGAGTCTAGGTTATCATTACTGGGGAGCAGAATGACTAGATCCTAGTCTTTGCTGTGCCACTAACTTTCTATGAACATGAGACAAGTTGCTGTTTTTTTTCTTCGTGCCTCATTTTATGCCCTCCTAAATAGATGTTTCTTTTCCTCATAGAGTTTTGAGGCAGAGGGCATGATCACAAATTTGCACGGATTCAAGTTAGATTTTTGCAAACAAAATAAGCCTACTTGGACCTTCAGTAAGGGTGTGTCTAGACTACAGGGTTTTGTCGACAAAAGTCCACTTTTGTCGACAAAGCTATACCTGCGTCCACACTGCCTTTGAGTTATGTCGACATAACGTCGACAAAACTCAGCAGTTTTGTCGACGTATGTAAACCTCATTTTATGAGGAATAACGCCTTTTGTTGACAGAGTTCTGTCGATGGAAGGCTTTATTGCATCTACACTGTCCTTTGCGTCCACACTGTTATGTCGACAAAGCGGCTTGCTTTGTCGACAGAACTGGATGTAGTCTAGACGCTCTTTGTCGAGAGAAGCTTTGTCAACAGTATCTGTCGACAAAACTTCTGTCGACAAAACCCTGTAGTCTAGACGTACCCTAAGTGTCCACGCAGCTTGCTGTACCGGTTTAACATTGTACCTTCAGTTAAACTGGTGCAACTCAGCATTTAGACTAGCCCTTGTACGCTTCTGAGAGATTTTAAATAGCTCTCTTCATGCCAATATCTTAATGGCTGGGGAGTAAAATATATTCAGTGTGCTAGTCAATCTGTTGTCACAGCAGTCCCAAGATCTAGGTTAATGTTGTAGGAATTAACACATTTGGGTTTTAAAATGAGCAACTGAAGTTTCACTGCTTCTCTCCTCTGTAACTGGAACAAGCACATATCCGATTTATCAACAAACAGTTCTGTGGAAATTCATTAGGAGACATTCATAATAGGGACGCAAGCGACTAATCAACTATCCGATAAGCAAAAGCTAGTCGACTAATTGCTTCTCCCTTCCCTCCTTCCCCCTGTTGCCTCCATCACAAAGAGACTGGGGGGAGGGGGGCAGGGGGAAGAGGTAAGGATACTGGGGGGCAAGAGCCGGCTTAAAAGCCAGATCCCCCTCCACCTCCAGCTCCATGGGAGGGAACAGGGGCACAGTGGCAGTGTTCCAACTTGGAAATGCTAGGGCTCTTGTACATTTCAAAAAGGAAGCGCCCTCATGAAGCCTGGGGTCATCCGGGAACTTCCCGCTGGCATTGGGCTCCACGCAGCGTTTCAACTTTGAAATATCCCCACTAGAGCTCTTGTATATTTCAAAGGTGAAACGCACTAGTCTTTATCGACTAATCAAATAGTCAATGGAAAGCCCATCAACTATTTGATTAGTTAATTGAAATTTAACATTCCTAATTCATAAAGCATGTTAATCATTCTGGCTCTTTATTATATGTCTATTTTAAGTCATTCTTAAGAGATCTTACCTAAAATCTCCTGATTGAGGTTGCCATAAACTGGACATTCTTCAGTATAATCATCATCATAGCTGTAAGGGGAATGAGAATTAACTTAAATTCTCTCTGTAGTGTGCATTGAAATATCTTAGGCTGTGCACATTGAATCTGACCCTTTTTGTTTTAAATTTAAATGGCAGTGGTGTCTGGAGGCCCTAATCAAGATTAGAAGCCCATTGCGCTGAGCACTTTCACATATAGACCTACATAGGTAAATATTAAGAAAAAACAGTAGGTGCCATAGGAGACATTGTAAGACAGGTGAACAGTGGAAGACCCATATTGTATTTAGTTGGGGAACTGGGCACTGCAGAGACTTGTCCAGAGTGGTGCAAGGAGTCTGAGGTGCCAGGACAGAAATGATCCCAGATTTCCTGAGTCCTTTTCCAGGACTTTAATTATAAGAACATACTTGTGGTTAACCTGAACTTAATATGTTTGATATATTTTGTCATTGACGGTGACTGATGGTAAGGCTGGGGGAGGCAAGTCCCTAGCCCAGCCCACCAGTACCACAAAGAAGTGGGGTGGCACACAGCTCCAACCTCCCTGGCCCTGGAACCATGGGAAGGGCAGGTGCTGGAGGTAGTAACACTCCTCCCCCAGTAGACCTATAGTAGGAGTTCTGGGAGCAGAGTGTGGGCGGGACCATGCCTGGCGATAAAAATATTTTCTGACCTTCAAAGCTCTACAATCTGAAGGTGATGAAAGCGTAGAGGAAAAAAGCAGATCTGAAGAAGGGGAAAATAAATCAGTGGTACTCGCAGTCCCCAGTTGACATTGGGAAATATCGGAATCCTCCAAGTCCTGGTGCATAATAACATACTGTAGTCAAATGAGTGTGTAATTTAAAGTCTAGAAGTGTTAAAATTGTGTGTGCCCCCCAAAATATGGGAATTGTGCTTGCAGGCTATTGTGTGCTGAAAGATGTTTTGTATGATTCATGCTTAGCTGTGCATCTTCTTCTGGATCTGCTCAGAGTGAATAAAGTTGTGGTGTGTAGTATTCGGGCAGATATGGCTGTCTACATACTAACATCAGATACGTAAACAGGAAAGTATTGTTGGGGGTTTAGCTTTTTTGTATTAACGAACGAGGGTTTTGTTTTGAGGTGAAGGGCTTTGAAGTATCTGTTTTCTGAAAAACATGAGGTTGGATCATCCAGAGCTTGTCTGTCTGCCGTTTGTTCGTTCTTTCTTTCGTTCTTAATATTGAGATATTATAATGTGGTAATTAATCAGAGCGGTTAGCCATGAATTTGGAGGGCTCATCTCTCACTGAGGCCATGTAAAAATAAATACCCTGCTTAGCTCTATTATTCTTCTCATACTACTAAATGAATTCCCTAAAATGATTTAATAAAGTCAGTGTGGTATGCTTTCCTTATGGACACCTTTAGCTATAAAAACATTTCTGTGTAGATCAAACAAGACCCTTCATATTTCCTTTGGTCCATTCCTTCAAATTCAGCCATAATTAATGTAACTCTATTTTAACCCTTTTTAAAAAACTAGACATACTTTATCTTCAACATACCTTGGACTATATTCTGGATAATCTCTGTATGTGTAACCTGGAAAATATTTTAAAACAAGTAGCTTAAGCAAAAAGAAAATATGGAATTGTTCAACGGTCACACAATTCATTTGCTGTCGTTACAGGTTTAACAAAATTGTATCATGTGACTTGTGGAGAGCAACATTATGTAAGTCTAAGAAAGGCTCCGTAGCACTGTTCGTGCTGTTAGTGTGAGATGCAGATTATTTGAGGATATTTAAAAAAAAAAATTCGTCATGAGAATCTAGACTTAAATTGTGACTAACATGGTTCATTAATATTCTGCAATCTCTGTACTGCACTAATTCTTACAAACCCCTCTCTAAGTCCCCGTTTTGCTAAGTACTATAAATACCCACCATAGAAAGACAGTCACTACTCCCCAATAATTTACAGCATAAACGTATGATGTACCAGTACAAGTAGAAATAAACAGGCTGTGGTAGAATAAAGAAACAAGGAAAGAATCCTGTGTGAGTGAGCAGTACTCTTGGCAGCCTACTGCCTTTTCCTCTTCATTAGGTTTTACAAAAATTACTACTGCTGTCCTAGTTAGGGGGCTATCTAATGTTACACAGTTAAAGTGAAGCAGAGTGTCCCAGGCCACAAAGGATGTGTCTACGCAGCAAAGTTATTATTCGGAATAACAGCTGTCATTCCAAAATAACTATGCGAGTGTCTACACAACAATAGCATCATTTTGAAATAATTTCAAAATAATGGGAGGCTTATTCCAACTTTTGTAAACCTCATTCTGTGAAGAATAACTATTTCAGAATAGAGGCTGTGTAGACACTCCACTTCTACTATTTCGAAATAGCACCTCACCAGGGCCATTCTAAGTTATTCCTCTCTAGTGCCTCCTGGGGCTCTAAATCAAAATAGCACATCTATGTTAGGGAAGCCTGCCTCAGATTAATTTTGAGACTTCCCTGTAGAGTAGACATGCTATTTTGAAATAAGCTATTTCAGAATAACTATTCTGGAATAACTTACTGCAAAATCAATGTGCAGTGTAGATGTAGCCTCAAGGTTAATTGTTGGAGCTGGGTTTAGAATTCAGGCGTTTCTGGCTCTCTTTTCTGGCCTACAAAACTTGCCTCTCTCAGAATCTGGTGGATGATGTGATGCGCACAGAATCCATCTCCTTGCTTCCCTGCTTAGTTCTGTAAATTTCATTTTCATCATAAAAATATTTGTGGCTCAGTTGGTGTCTCCTTAGCTTCTCTCAGCTGAACAGTTATCATTGTGCATTGCAAGTAACAGTTGTATATGCAGGCCTTCTCTATGCACAATTTGTATACCTGTGCACAGGTATAGTAACAGTGAAATAACTCCCTCTTAGGCAGAGACACAGTTTTATCACTATAGAGGTGATTATATCAATATGGCTTAATCTCACATAGGATGGGGAATAAGATATAACAGTATGAGATGTCTTTATGCTGTTGTGACTGCATCCATGCTAATAGTTGTACTGATACAATTGTTTCCATGTTAAAAAACTTGCCCCAAATAAAAAATAATTATACCCATGTAAAGTCTGTGTATAGACCAGACCAATAATCATGAACAAACACTCATGAAGCAAAATAAGCCGTCACTTTGTGAGTAATAGAATGGCTTGATAGATACCTTGGTGCATGTGCTCCCTCACGCACTTGTGAGCAGAGCTGAATTCCTAATGTAGGGAAGGAGAGGAAGAATTTGGATGAAATCTGAAATTTAAATATGCATTCCTGAATTCAGGGGGAAGAAAATATTGCCACTTCAATTCATAGCTTATATTAATGTGTATTTAAAGAGCTGTCATATCTAAAGTTCATGCAATGAAAAATTGCAGATGGGGGTGGGGAGGGAATTGTCTATATGAAAAATGTTGAGAAAATTATCTGAATTAAATTCTGTCCCTTGCTCACGTCTGGCTGGCTCATTTGGGAAGAACGGGTTGGAGGATTGCTTCTAGGGAGTTTTTAATCATTGAGTCATACTGATGTTTTGAAAGCTTTTGTTTTTAATTGCTGTACCATGTGACATCAGGCATCAGTGCCTTGCAAGTTAAAAATGCATTAGTACTAAAATAAATGCTTAGAAAAAGATTCATTTTAAACGATTCATCCTGCTTGCTGGAAAATTCCCAGTGGTGTTGAATTTGTTTGTCGTCTCTCAAATGCTCTCACGATCTCTTGCACACACGTCATTTCTTACCTTTTTGCTTGTTTGCTATGCAGTATGAAATATTTATGATTAGTGAAACAACCAGAGCCATAATCACAAAGGCTAGAAGTCCCCAGATTGAGAAGTGGCAAAAAACTGTCTCCATTTCTGTAAGAGAAAACAAATCCTGCATATTATGTGTTATCTAATGGTTGTACTCCCTTCTCCCCCCCCCCCCCCCGCCCGCC